ACACACACACACACACACACACACACACACACACACACACACACACAGTGTCCTAAAAGTCTTAGTGAGGTTTTAAGCTATTAAAGTTTTTAAGTTTAAAATGTTTAAGTTATTTAAGTTTAAAACTTTATTAAATTTCAAGCTATTAAAGCTTAAAATGGCACTAAAACTTTTGGAACACCTTGTATATAGCAATATATTATATATTAGGCTTCATATAGAAGCTTTAATAGCTTAAAACCACACTAAATCTTTAGGGACACCTTATATAACTGTATATGTATGTATGTATGTGTGTATATATACACACACACACACATATAGGTTTACATATATTTGGCTTTATATAGAAATTTAATAGCTTAAAGCTGCACTAAAATTTTAGGGATACCCTGTATAACGATATATGTATATATGTAAATGTTTGTGTGTGTGTGTGTGTGTGTATATATGTACATATACATATATATATATGAAGCTTCTGTCTATATCCATATTTATCTATCTATCTATCTAAACTTTTAATAGCTTAAAGCTGCACTAAGGCTTTTGGGACACCCTATATAAGTGGTAGCTATTATCAGTAAAATGAGGGAATTGACTATCTGGTCTCCGATCAGCTATCTTGCTGCAGAAATACGTTTCTACGAAATGTCAGTCCCTCTTCCACAAGAAGATGGCTTCCATGAATACAGCAATCTCATCACTCATAGAATTCAATTCAATAAGAATTTATTAAGTTTCTGCTGCTTTCTAGGCACTGTGCTAGGTGTGTGTTGAGGGTGGGGGAGGAGGTAGGGGTTGCAAAGACCAAAATAAAGGAGCCCAGACAGAAAAATATTCTTGCCTTGGAAAAGCTTACATCGGTCAAATACTACATGTGCGTGAGTAAATAAAGACAAGGTAGTTTAAGGAGGGAGAGAACCCTAACACCTGGGAGGTTCCAGAAGAGCTTTCAGTAGGAGACAGTATTGGAGCCCAGCCTTGGTTTTCAAAGAGATCCTTCACGGGAGAGACAGCACATTTCAGGCTTGATATGGGAGGTGGGAGGTGAATGCCTAGTTTGGGGAGCCCATGGTTTGTATGTAGGCCCATTTGTCTGGAACACAAGAGCACATGAATGGGAATGAAATGGCCTTTCCATAGAAAGGCACACTGGGGCCAGATAGGGATGGTCTCTAAGTGCCAAGCTGAAGAGTTCTAACCTGAAGGCACTAGGGATCCCCTGAACCTTCTTGAGGAGAGTGACATAGTCAGACCCCACTTTGGGAGGATAATTTCAGTAGTTGTGTGGATGGATCTGAGAGGAAAGACCATTATTAAAAAAAAAAAAAGTCAGAACTGGAAGGGCTCTTAGAGAGATGATGAAGCCTTATTCTTTCATTTTCCGGAGGAGGGAGTTGTGGGTGTGAGAAGGGACACGACTTCACCAAGGTCATACAGAAGGTCTGGTGGCAGGGCCAGAGCTAGGCTCTGGGTCTTGTGGCTCCCAGGGCTCTCTGACCCACTTCACCACGCTGCCCCCTCAGAATCCCTGGCACGACTTGGGTGGAGGGAGGACACAGGTGTGTCTGTGTGTGGGGGGAGGGGTCGGGATTCCGCCCTCCAGAAAGTGTGTCCTAGAAGGTGTTAACTTGGGCGTAGGGAGGCTCGGGGAGGTGGGTTGAGTCTTCGGGCTTTTGGCGAGGTCTTGGGGTGGGCGTGGGCGACTACGCTGTGGTCAGACCCTTACGCACACAGCCTGCCCGGGGCTCCAGGACATCGGGGGCGGGGAGAGGTGGGGTCTCTTCTGCTCCCCCATTCCCGATGCTCCGCCCCTCCTGGTGCGCCAGAAAGAGGGAGGGAACGTGGGGGCGCGCGGGAAGGGCGCGCGCGAGCGCGGGGATTCTGGTCACGTGCTGCTCCCTCGCTCCCTCTGGAGGCCCCCCCAACCTCCTCCCCCTTCCCGTCCCCTCCCCTCGGGTGCGGGGGTGGGTGGGACTGAAACTCAAAGGTTTCATTCATAAATTCTCCGCCTTTTAAATCGCTACCCAGGCGCCGGGCAGCGGAGCTAGCTGAGCCGAGCCGAGCCGACCCGAGCCGAGCCGAGCTGAGCCCAGCGGAGCCAAGCAGGGAGTGAGCGCCGCGGCTGCGCCCAGTCCATGGCCCGTGCGCCCCGCTACCGAGGAGGTGAGTGCGCCCGGGCGCCCGCCCGGCCTGCCGGCCCCAGCCCAGCCCCAGCCCCAGCCCCGGTCCTGGCTCCTGGGCGTCCGTGAGCTCGGCCCAGGGAGCTCGCGAGCACGCAGGCGGGCGGGCGGGTCTGGCCCAGCCCTGCGCCCTCCTCCAGCCCTGCACCCCGGCACTCCGAGGGACGCCGGCTCCCGCAGAGCTCCTGGGACTTTGGGATCTCTGGCTCGAGCTGGGCCCCCCACCCCCACCCCAGTGACGGTTCAGGATTGCCGGCCCTCCCTTTCCTGCCCGCTCTCGGGGTGTGCAGAGGGAATCCAGGCTGAGGCCTGAGCAGAGCGGGGAGAAGAGAATCCGAACCCGGGTACCGCTTGGCTCTCTTCTTCTCCCTTCCCGTCAGCGAGGGCTCCGTGTGCGTGTGGGGTGTGTGTGTGTGTGTGTGGGTGGGTGCGTGTGTGTGTGTGTGTGTGTGTGTGTGCGTGTGTGTCAACCTGAACTCATTTCCTAACCTACATCCACTTCAGAGAATTGACCCACTTGTTTCCAGGAGATAAACTAGGTGATTTCACCCCAGCTTGGCCTCCTTCCTTAAGCATCAGTAGGAAGGGGGCTCAGAGGGAAGAGACGAAGAATTCCCAGGGCTGGCCTTCAGGAGCTCTCCATGGTGTAGACAGAGCTAACCTGGGGTTGAGTCAGAAGACCTGGGTTTTAGCACCTGTCCGGTTACTGACAGCTCTGTGACCTTGGAGAAATCTCTTCTTGTCTCTTGGACTCAGTTTCCCCATCTCCACATGAGGGGTTCAGAATAGGTGATCCCTAAGATCCCTCCCAGTTATGTTTTAATGTTCCTCCCAGGTCTAACATCTTAATTTTACGAGTAAACTTTCTTAAAGGGGGAGCATTTTCTTTGGGTGTCATTTGGTAGGAATATGACAGGGAGGCTCCCAGAACTTGGTGTGATGGGGAGGCATCCCCACCCCCATATTTGGGGCTCTCTCTTTAGCTTTTTCTTGAGCCCCCTTGGAGTTCACAGTCTAGGAGATGGGCCTGGACCTTGCAGATCCCACCCCATCTAGCTTTTGCTGCTCCCACGGTAGTGGGGAGGGAGCATGGCACTCCCCAAAGAAGGTCTTCCTAAGGATTACAAACTATTTCCAGATGGCATTCTCTCTTCATGCCCCTTCTGGGCACTAGGAAGCCAAAGCTCCCTCCACAGAGTGGCTGGTTGACATCCTATAGCTGGTCCTGTCCTGAGGTGAACACATGCCAGCAGGCAAGGTGGTGGACATCTGAGGTGGGCATAGAAGGGCAGGGCTGAGTAACTGCTTTCTGGGCTCCTAAGGAGCAAAGAGAGAGGGAATACACCCCACATTTTTTTTCTAGGCCAAGAGATGGTATGGGTTGGTCTAGATAGCCATGGAGATCTCTCAACTCTGAAATTGGATGAACTCACAAACTCAGATCTGCCTTCCCTGACAACCTTGTTTTGAGCTTCTCCTTTGGGTGCAGGGAGAGGTGGGTTCTTTCTCTGTGAAAAGGGGTAAGGGTCAACCTCAGCAAAGAGGGAGAGGAAGCCTGGGCTGATAGACAGCCAGATTCATCTTGGGGAGCTCAGAGCACTGGAAGGGGTTGAGGGATTTGGCCTTTTGTGAAAGCTAGGTTGGGGTAGTAGCACCAGCAGCAGCAGCAGCTGGAATCCTAGAAAACCCCAAATATGTTTCATATCCTGGCTTTTTGGGAAGTGGGGGTGGGGCTGGACTTTTGCCCCAGAACTGGACTTTTCAGATGTTGTCAGGGATCTCTTCCAAGTCCTCCAGGACTAGAGGAAGAGGCTTCTAATATATCTGGGCTGGAGACTAAATGGCAGGCTTGTAGATGAATGGGGGTGTCCCAGGGATTTTAAGACTTGGCCCGGCTTGTCTGTCTGTCCCCCAACCCTCAGTGGATGATCCTCTGATCCAGGGGGGCAGTTGTTGTGCCTGGGATTACTGTGGGGGGTGTGTGTGTGTGTGTGTGTGTGTGTGTGTGTGTGTGTGTGTGTGTGCGCGCGCGCGAGCTCACATAAGCTCACTCCCTCCCTACTCCCGGATCTCTTCTCATCCCTCCTCAGATACAGGTTTGACCTCCTCTCAGCAGGTACAGCTAAGGAGGGTGGAGTTTCAGGTTTTACTTCTCCGGTATATCAGTTAACTTTCCTCAGTTTCCTGGACATCAGAAGATCTTAAAGCACTTAGGTTACATTCGTGCCTGTCTCCCAGGATCAGGGGTGCTGGGGGCACATGAAAAGGGAGTGGAGGGCTAATGTGATATGCTGAAGGCCATTCCCTAAACTGGAAATTAGAGTTGGAAGGAAAGGACAAGGCCCTAAGAGTTAGTTCACTCTCTTAGAATATCAGAAGAAGGAGGGACCTCAGAACATAGGATCTCAGAGCTGGGAGGGACCTTAGAACATAGGATCTCAGAGTTGGGAGGGACCTTAGAACATAGGGTCTCAGAGTTGGGAGGGACCTTAGAACATAGGATCTCAGAGCTGGAAGGGCCCTCAGAACATGGAATGTCAGACCTGGGAGGGCCTTTAGAACATTGGCTCTTAAAGCTAAGAAGAGTTTGGAGTGCACCATGCCAAATTCTCATTTTATAGATGAGTAAACAGAGACTCAGAGAGAAGAGATTTGACTAAGGTCACATAACTAGTTAGTGGTTGAGCCAGCAACCAGCACTTAAAATTCCTTGACCTGTGCTGGGCTCCTCTGGGCATCACATCAGGAATTTCCTATGGTCCGACTCTTCAGTTTGCTTGCCCCCCTCCCCCCACCCCATGGGAGAGGAGCAGCTCCAGGACTGTCTTTCAGCACTGGTAGCTGAGACCATGAGGGCCTTCTTTCCCTGCTTGCCTAATCTCTAGTAGGATTTCAAGGCACATTTCCACAGCCCTTTACAGATACAAATCTCCCTCAGAGGTATTCTTTTGAGCCTGCTAGCCGCCTTCCAGAGTACAGAAGAACACAGAGGAAGGAAGCTAGGTTTGGAAAGGGGAAGTCTCCCAGCCCACAGTTACATAGTGAGTAAGTGGCAGAGTTCTGGGTCCCAGGCCTGAGGAAGGTGGGCAAAGAATGTGCCAGATGTGGATCCTGAAGAGGAAAGACTGTCCTGGGGGTAGGCTGTTGCCAAGCCCTAGTCAGGATTTGCCTGCTGACTTTGGGTCTAGAGCAGGGGCTTTTTTGTATCCCCAGTCCTTTTTTCTTTAGGGCCTCTCCTCTTCAAGCCTGGTCTTGCCTGTAGATGGAAATCCAGTTTCCTTTAGGGGGACCCAGGACCATTCCTCAGGCCACTGACCCCTCCAGCCCCATCTTTATAGGAGCAGAGGTTTGAGAGCTGATAGAGAACACCTGGTTCAGTCTCTCTTTACCCCTCCCCCTACACCTCCATTTAACAGATGAGGAAACTGAGGTTCAGAGAAGGGCCCAAGATTTCAAAGTGAGTCATTGGTAAAGTCTGAGTATAAATCCAGTGCCTTTTCTCCTCTGCTGGGCTCTGTTACCCCCCCCCCCCCCCTGCTCCTTGAGCGGCTGTGACCAGCCCCTCTTCCAGCCTAGCCTGCTTCCCCAGATCCCTGGGGCCATCCGCTTTGCCTGGTGCCCGGGTCCCAGGAGGCATCACAACAAACCCCAGCCTCCCTGGCAACACCCCCCCTCCTCCGCCCTCCCCCACCCTCGGCAGGAGCAGTCTTGTTCCCCTGGTCCTGTTGCCATGGGAACAGGATTCTTCAGGGCTGGAACAGTTGCTGCATTCTTCTCCCTTTCCCACCCCCAGGGTGGGTGGGTGGGTGCTTGAGGCCCCTGACCCTGGGAGTCCCAGTCTTTCCTGTCCCCCCCCAACCTTTGAAAATCCCCTGCTGTGATTCTGGGGGCCACGGAGCAAAGAGCATCTCCTGCCCCCCCACCCCAGTTGGACATCTCTAATTGAAGTACTCCTGGGGGGCCCACCTGGAAGAGGCAGCTGTTTTTGGGGACGTGCCCGGGGGCCTCCGGTCCCCTTTGTTCACTGAGATAAGCCTACACACGCCTTGCTCAGCCAGGACTCCCTCTCTAGGGCCCAATGCCAGCGCCTCACATCCCTGGGGCTCCCTGGTGGAGGGGGTGGGGAGGAGGGCTTTTCCCTTCTTAGTGGGTGTGGTGAAGCAGCAGGTCAGGCCCGGGCACTAAGAGCCCTCCCCACAGTCACCCAGACTTGCTTTGTGACTTTGGGAAAGTCCCGTCTTCCTCTCTGAGATTCATTTCCCTTCTTGTCAAATGAAAAAGGGTACCTGGGGGGCCAGGGCGGGGGAGGGGGGGGAAACTGGGAATTAAATTATTGAATTAAAATGTTTTTGCTTCTTACTCCTCATGGGCTAAACCTTACCTTCTGGGAGGGGATAGTGGGGGAAAGTGGATTTTTAAAAATTAATATTTTATTTTTTAATGAAAGAGAAGTGGTTTTTATGAGCAGATAGAGGCTGAGGGGAGGAATTGTATTCAATTCAATAAACATTTATTAAGAGCCTACTATGCACCAGGCACTGGGCTAAGCACTGGAATGAAAAGAGCCCTGAATTTAGAGTCAGAGGACCTGGATTCAAAACCTGCCATTGTCATTTACTACCTAGATGACTTTGGGGAAGGCCTTTACCCCACTGGGCCTCAGTTTCCTTGTCCGAAAAATGAGGGGGTTGGAACAGATGACCTCTAGGTTCCCATTCTAAGAGAGACTTGCAAAGCACTACCTCATCCTGGCCTGGAACTTGAACCTGTCCTCCCCCTCCCACAGAGCAGGAAAATTCTCTGGGGAGCCCCTTGTCCAGCCCCCATCTGGTAAAGTGCTATGTAAACATGAAATGCTGAGGAGAAAAAGAGGAAAGAATACTGTTTCCTGAATTTAGAATTTATGTCCCAGATGTGACATTACTTTGAGGCAAAATGGTGTAGCCCCAGGGATGGGGCATTGGACTTGGGGGCAGGAAGACCTGCCTTCCAATCTTGCCTCAGACACATACTAGCTGAGTGACTCTGAGGGAGTCACTTAACATCTCTGCACCTCAGTTTCCTCATCTATAAAATGAGTGGACTAATTCAGTGACCTCTAAGGCCCTTTCTAGACCTCAGCTTGGGATCTTATGAAGTTCTTTTCATCTCTCTGAGACTCAGTTTTCACATCTTCAAAATGGAATCCTGGCTCTCCCCCTTGTTTTGTGACTGTGGGCAAGTTGCTTCATTTTAATGAGTCTCATTTTCTCCATCTGTGAGATGGGTCTTTTTTTCTCACCACACCCCCGGGAACCTTGGAGCAAGGGAGTCATGAGGGCCCTTCATTATTGTTATTATCAAGTTGGGAGGGAGGAGCCCGGGTCTGGGTTCCCAAATATTGTCTCTTCAAGCCCTCCCCGCCACGAACCAGACATATGTCCACCCTGTGACAGCTCAGTGACCCACTGGTGCCCCAACATCTCGTTTCCCTCCCGTCACCCGAGTCCCTGCTGCTGTGGGAGGAAGAGGGGGAGGAGAAGAAGCCTGGCCGGGAGCTGCTGCTGGCGTGGGGGGGTGCAGTCGAAGGGGCACCGAAGATCGGCTCTGGGCATCGGACTTACCCTTCTGGCCGCCTCTCCATTCTCCTTTGAGATGGTTCTGATCCCATTCGAGGCTGTGGGAATGAGCAGAGAGCCTCCTGGGAGCTTGAGGGAAGAGGCTGGGGGGGAGTCAGGGGGAGTCAGCTCCCGGGGAGGGGCTGTGCCTGAGCGCCCGCCCCCTCTCTTTCTCCCTCCCTCCCTCCCTCCCTCCCTCCGCTGTGGCCCTGATCCCCGCCTTCCCTTTCAGGAGTTCTCTCCAGCCGGTCTAGACCATGAGCAATGACTTAACTCCATGGGACAACATCACTGCCAGTCCCACGGTGAGTGAGCGCGGGCCGGAGGGGAGGAGGGCCCTGGCCATGGGCTGCCTTCCCCCGGGGCCTGGTTGATGCCCTCCGTGCTCCTTGTGTGCCTGCAGACGGTGTCCGGATCGGTCAGCCCCCAGGATGGCTCGGGGCTGCTGCTCGTCCTGCTCTCTGTCTTCATTGGGGGGACGCTGGTGGTGTTGTCAGGAGCCCTGATCCTCTGCCGGCGCTGCTGGGATGCCCACCGCAGGTACTCCAGGTAGGAGGGCCCTGCTGGGGTCCCAGGGCCCCCCGCAGAGGGGGGCCATAGTGGTCCAGACTGGACCACCCTCCTTCTGCCTTCGTGGTCCTTTCAGAGAAACGGGCTCCCTTCCTCCTTCCCTCAGTTTCCTCACCTGTAAAATCGGGGACGACATGACTTACTTCCCCTACAGGACAGTCGTCGGGGAAGCCTTTTGTCACCCTGAGAGCGACATGCTAGTTCTTCTTCCTGATGTTGTCATTCCTCCTCCCCAGCTCAGCCTTTTCTCTCCTTCGCGATCCCCTCCTGTGAAGGGGTTGGGGGGCAGGGAAGAAGCCGTGCGGAAGCCGGAGGGTGGGGGAGGGTGCTAATGGAGCCCAGTGACCGTCGTTAGCGATTTCAGCATCTGCCCCTCTGTCCCCGCTTTGCCGACTCCAGGGCCAGCGATGACCCAGAGAAAACCACCACCACCTACCTGGATGACTCCCAGCCTGCTCAAGGTGAGAGCTGCCTTTCGAAGCTTCCGGGGGCCTCCCCCAGCCCACGTGTCCCCGCCAGGCGTCTGTGTGCCCCCTCCGGGGAGTCCTCACTCAGAGGTTACCATGGCGATGATTTGAGGTGGTCAGGCCCGGAGATGCCTATTGCCGGGGAGGAACGAGACAGAAGGGAGGGCTGAGGCAGGAGGAGGGTCAGGGGTCTTGCCTAGACCTCAGCTCCCATCTGACGCGGTCCCCTCCCTGCAGACATCACCATCAAAGTGGACGACCCAGAATGCCTGTCGTCTTCCAGTTACCGAGATGTGGACACAGAGCGGTTCCTGGCCACCAGCTCCACAGGCCGCAGGGTCTCCTTCAATGAGGCAGCCCTGTTTGAGCAGAGCAGGAAGGCCCAGGAAAAAGGGCGGAGGTAATCATCGTGAGAGCTTACATTTATTTACTCAGGGCCTTGTGGGGTAAACAAGTATTCCCCCCACTTTACAGATGATGAAACTGAGGCTGAGTGGCTGGGCTCCTGGTCAGTCACCAAAAGGACTTTCTGACTGCTTTCTCCTATACTTCGCCCACGTCCCAGGTACAGTGGGCTTAGGCTACCTGCCCCCTCTTCCCTTCACGCTAGAGGGGGCTGGTGGAGACAGGAGAGGGAGAAGGGAATGGAGGAAATGAGATAGCCGATAAATATGGGATTTGGAGTCGAGAGAACCAGGCTCTGTGGCTTGACCTAGCTGCGTGATCCTGGGGAAGGCCTGACCCATCTCTGGGACCATGTTCTTCTTCTAAAAAAGAGGGGGCTGGTCTAGGTGACACCAAGGGTCTTCTAGTTCTAAATCTCATGTGCTTGGCCTGGGCCACCTCCATTCTGCTGCCCCTTCCCCCTCTCTCACCAGCCAAGACCACCGCCCTGTTGTTCATGCATTTCAAGGATCCCAGGAGAGCTTCCAAATATTCTTTTCTATGGATGGAACCCCTGATCTTGGGCAATGCTAACTCCCACTGGGCCGTGGGGAGAGGGAGGTCAGCTTCTGGAAGAGGGTGGGCCGTGGGTGGCCGAGGGTCCTAGAATCTAGTCCTGTTAGGTGACTTCAAGGTTTGCTCTAAACTTAACTATCACAGTAGTGGATAAAATGCCGGGCCTGGAGTCGGGAAGACTCCTCTTCCTGAGTTCCAATTCGGCCTCAGACAGTACTAGCTGTGTGACCCGGGGCAAGTCACTTCACCCTGTTTGCCTCAGTTTCCTCATCGGTAAAAATGGGCTGGAGAAGGAAACAGCAAACCACTCCAGTATCTCTGCCACAAAAACCCCAAATGGGGTCACAGAAAGTCGGACACCACTGAAAATGACTGAACGAGAGGGAATCTAGTTCCCATCATTTTGCAGATGAGGCACCTGAGGCCCAGAGAGGTGACTGGACGAGGTCACGTGGGTAATAAGCGGAAGAGCTGAAATTTGAACACAAGCCTTCTAACCCCAAACCCATCCGTCAGTCTTGCCACAAGGCCCTTCGCTTCTCTGGGACTCAGTTTTGTCATCTGCCAAATGGGGCCAATAATCCCTGCCCTACTCTCAGACTCATAGGGTGTCAGAGCTGGAATGGCCCTTAGAGCTGCTCTAGCATTCCTCTCTTGTTTTGTTTATTTACATGTTTTATTGATGTTCTGGAGTTTGAGTAGGATCATTTCCCACCCAATGAGAACCTCCCTTGTAACAAATACAGTTAAGCAAAACAGATCAACGCATTGGTTGTGTGTGCCCCATTCTGTACCTGTAGTCCACCACTTTTCTGTCAAGAGGAAGGAGGCACACTTCCCCACTGTGATGTCATGATGTCCTATGTCAGTGCCTGGACTGGAGTTTTATATCTTTTGGTGTTATTTTTTCTTTACAGCACGGGTTCTTAACCTGGGGTCCTTGAAATTTTTTTTTTTTAAATATTTTGAGAGTTGTGTTTTATATTATACATTTAAAGGCCTTATTCTGACAAGGGGTCCATAGGCTTCACCAGACTGACTGCCCAGGAGGCCTGCGACACAAAAAAAGGTGATGAACTCCTGCTTTAGATTTTGGCGGTCATTGTATAAATAGTATTCCTGGTTCTGTTTACTTTGCAATGGATCAGTTCATACAAAACTTCCATGTTTCTCTGAATTCTTCATAGTAATTGCTCCTTATTGCAAAATAATTTTCTCTTTTATTCATATACCATAGTTGTTTTTTTCTCCCAGCTATTCCCTATCAGTGGGGAATGTTTCCTTCCAGTTTTTTTATTACTACAAAAAGTGCTTCTATAAATATTTTTGTATAAATAGGAAACTTTACTCCTGTCTTTGACCTCCATGGCAGTAGTATCAATGAATCAGAAGGGTGTGTGTGTGTGTGTGTGTGTGTGTGTGTGTGTGTGTGTGTATGGGCACACACAGTTTAGTGCCCTTTTTTTTTTTAGCATAAATTCAAATGTTTTCTAGAGTGTTGGATCAATTCACCACTTCAGCAAAAGGCAAGACATTAAATCTCCCTGCCTTTCCACAGCCCCTCCAAGATATGGTGTCAACCTTTGTGATCTTTGCCAATTTGATGGGTGTGGTGTGAAACCACAGTTGTTTTAATTTCCTTTTCTTGCTATTTGTGATTTGGAGCATTCTTTAATGTGGACACTGATAGCTTGCAATCTCCTTTTGGAAACTGCCTGGGGTAGTCATTTGTGCCCTCAGTCAGTGGCACAGCACCTTGGCGGGTCTGACACAGGCCCTTCCTGGGCACGCAGGCCACAGGCTCCTATGCCCCTCACAGGTATACCTTGACAGAGGGTGATTTTCACCACCTCAAGAACGCCCGTCTCACTCACCTCCACCTGCCTCCACTGAAGATTGTCACCATCCACGAATGTGATTCCAGCGAGAACAGTGTCGCCATGACACCCCGCCTGGTCTCTGGCTCCAAGACCAGTCTCTCCATTTTCCAGGTGAGTGGTCTCCCCCGGACAGGGTCTCCCCATCTCTGCTGGTCTTCCCTTGGTTGCTTCGGGCCCACGGGCACAAAGCCTGGGCACTGGGGTGGAGGGCAAGGGCCGGGAACAGATCAGGAGATCAACATATGAGAGAAAGAAGAGAAAGCCCTTCAAAGCAGGGCCAGGAGGTTCAGTGTGCCAGAACTCCAAGAGAGAGAGAGAGACAGAGATAGAGGCAGAGACAGAGAGGCAGGAGAGCAAGTGCCCATTCCCTCCATCACATCCACCCCACCTCTCCTTTGCCCTTTGACCTTGTCACTCCCCCCTCCCCACCCCCACCCCCACCCCCATCCCGGCTCTATCCTGCAGCCCCGGGTCAGCGCCCCGGCCCCGAAGGCCCTCACCGGCCACTCCATGTGCCCCAGCTCCGCCCTGCCAGGGGACCCCTACAACTCCACCGTGGACACAACCAGCTTCGTGGAGGCCAGCCCATCTGCGTCCACCGACTCTGGGGAGGGCACCTCGGTAAGCGGCCCAGAAGGCCCCAGGCCGGAGGAGCAGAGGCCCATCCCTGCCAAGAAGGGGGAGGGAAAGTGCTAAAAAAAATCTCATCCCTGTCCATGGCCCTACCCTCACCTCCTGATGAAGTTAATTAATCTAAGGAGCTTCCACTGGGGGCACCTAGATTCTCCCCCTAAAGTGGAAAGAAGCCTGGGAGCTAGGAAGCCTGGGAGCTAGGACACCTGGGCTGAAATGCCACTGACTTTCTGTGTGATCTTGGGAAAGTCTCTTTTCTTCTTTGTGCCTCAGTTTCCCCATCTGCATCTACAGGATTCTGACCCTCAACCTGGCTCAGACTTAGTTGAGAAATGACCTTTTAGCATCTGTGTGCTATGGCAGAAAGAGAGATGGTCCTGGCGTCCTGGAGAGGCCTAGCTTTGAATCTTGATTCTAGCTTTGTGACTGACTGAGGGCCACAGACCCTCGATGACCCCTCTGATGGTCAGTTTCTCCTGCTAACTGGAGATGACACCGGTTATCTCTCCCTCCTGGGGTTGTTGTGGAGAAAATAGGGTGGCCTGGGATGGGGGGAGGTAGCACCTGCACCCCTCCCTCCACACCTGAACCCTTTTTATTTTTTTGGCTAGGCAATGGGGTTAAGTGACTTGCCCAGGGTCACACAGCTAGTGTTATGTGTCTGAGGTCGGATTTGAACTCAGGTCCTCCTGACTCTAGGGCCAGTGCTCTATTCACTGCGCCACCTAGCTGCCCCCCAGATCTACTTTAAAAAAAATAATAATAATAAAAATCAAGCCATTAGGATTAATCATGAAATCAGCCAGCAGGAACTTAGGGCTCGGGATGGGGGGAAGAGGGCAAATATAATCATCCCCATTAAGCAGAAGGATAAACTGAGGCCCAAGGTGAGGAGGTAAACTTACTCAAGATCACACGGAGCCTGAGTGTCTGAATGCCTTGTTCAGGGATTTCGCCTCTCCTCTGGAGTTTTTTGTTTGTTTGTTTGTTTTTTAATATCACTGTTCTCCTTCATCTCCACCCCCAGTAAATCTAATTTAGGCTTAGGGTCAGACAGAGACCTCAAGGTGTCACCTTTTCCTTGAGCTGAGGGGACCTAGGGAGAGAATGTGACAGGGACAAGAAGGTAACAACAAGTGTGGTCCCTAGATTACTGCCTTTCCACCACTATCTCTGCCCCAGTGCCTTCTGCCCGAGCTCCAACGCACCAGCATAGTGTGTGTGTGTGTGTGTGTGTGTGTGTGTGTCTGTGTTTGCGCTAGCCTGTCCACGTGTATAATTGTCTAAGTTTATGTCTAGGGAACTATGACCATTTGAGGCTTTCCAGGTGTGTGTGTGTGTGTGTGTGTGTGTGTGTGTGTATGCACCTTTCCAGTTATCTGTGCAGGTGTATGCCTGGGTGTCCAGGTGGTGAAGTGTATATACATCTCTCCAGGTGTGTGTGTATAGGGGAAGGGGTGAATGAATGTCTGTGGGTATCCAGGCCTCCACGTGCATGTCCAGGTGTGAGGTGTGTTCACGCTGATACCCATCCAGGTGTGTGGTGTGAACAGCTGGGGGAGGGGGGAGGAATGGAGTTCGGATGGACTGGGTTACTCAGCACACCGGCAGCCTGTCCCTCCACTCTGCCTGCCCTGACCCTTGCCTGCCTCTCCAACCTCTCACAGCCCGATGCTGGTGCCAGGAGCTCCGTGGCAGGTGCTGTAGGGGGCAGGACAGGGGAGGCTGGGCCGGCTCCGGGCTCGGGCAGCGTCCTGCAGTTCTTCACTCGACTCCGGCGACATGCCAGCCTCGAGGGGGCCAGCCCCTACTTCAAGATGAAGAAGTGGAAACTTGAGGCCAGTCACCGGGCTTCCAGCTTGGACACCAGGGGTGAGTGGCAGGATTCCCTTCTACCCCTACCAGGGCCTTTTTGGCTTGGCTTGATAAGTGGGTCCGAGAATTAGTACCATGCCTGCCTGAGTTCTCGGATACTCAGTCTCTGGCTTATAGCCCGTCCCGAGGGTCAGATTCTAAAACAAACAGCTTTGGGGAACTCGGTGGAAAAAGAGCATTGATGAGTTAAGAGGGCATGCCATTTTTGTTGCTAGCTTGTTGGGTAATCTTAGGCAAGTAATTTAACCTTTCTGGGCCTGTTTCTTCATTTGTACAATGGAAAGACTAACTTCTCATCTGAACCTCACCAGGATATTGTGAAAACCCAGGGAAATGATGTAGATGATAAAGCTTTTAAGAAGTCTGGAGACGTTTTGGGGTTTGACAGTGGAGGGTGGGCCATGGGTAGGTAAGCAGACTCTGACAATTCCACCTCTTTTTCTGCTGCCAAGTTACTGGGGAAGACGCCTCCTCTCTGTGCAGGGGCTGTGAGCTATCAGCCAAAAGGGCCTGTAGGCAGTAGGCACACAATCCGTATTTGTTTAATTGAATCGGAGCATCTCAGAAGCAGGCCTGTCAGGGTTGAGTGGAGCTTTACATCACAGCCTGTTTGAATCCCTCCAGTGATGGGGAACTTACTACCTATCCACTGGGCATCAGCCTGGCTCTGTGGAGGCCAAACGCGTGGCTCAGAAGCTACCGTTCCGAGAGCATGAATTCCAAACAGTTCTGATGCCCTGTGTCAGAGGCATAAATATAGATGGAGTTTGTTCCTCTGTGGGGTGGGAAGTCATGATGGAGCCCAGAGATCAATTCCTAGAAGGCAGATCCCTAACTGGTTATTAAGGGATAATAACACTTCAATATTTGCGAAGTATTTTTGTCTCCTGTGGGCAATTTCATTATTCCCGTTTTATAGATGAGGAAGTTAAGGGACTTGGATGGCCCACTGGAAAGTGTATTGTGAGAGTTGGAGCAGAATCCTGCTTCCCGTGATTGCTAATTTGTGATGTGCCAGTCCCTTAATCTTTTTGAGCCTCAGTTTCTCCATCTGTAAAATGAGCCTCATACCGTCTTCTGTGGTAGTTGTGAGGGTCAGATGAGATTATGCGTGTAATATAAGTGCTTTGTGAATAGATTAGGTCCTTAACATGAATTTCTGCTGCTACTTCCATTATTACTGGGAAGGGTCTGGATGCCAGAGGGTGGCGTTTGAGGGGCCAGCCCAATCCCTCCCTTGAGGAAGAAGAGAATTCGTGGTACAATGAACCACGGGTAGAAGTGGCTGACATTTCTAGGTTTTGGTCCATTTCAGCCTTGGTCAGCTGACCCATATTAGATGGTCCTCTGGAGTTGTTCGTAATCATATTTCAAATTGTGCTTCAGGGTTCAAGGTGCCATGAGGCATTTTCTTCCCAGCAGCCCCACAAGGTAGAGTATACAGATGTTGTTTTACCCATTTTATAGATGAGGAAACTGAGGCCTGGAGAGGCCAGGCAGCTAGGATCAGGGCCTGCATTCAAACAGAATCCAAATTGAGCACACCGAGAACAAAGTGAGGAAGGGCCTGGCCCTGATTGTCATCACGGGGGTGGGGCGAGGACTGGCCAGGTGGGGAAGGGAGCTGGTGCTGGGTTGGTGCTTCCTACCCTGAAAACCACCCTCTCTTCCCTTTCTTGGTTGGCCACCTCTCCTGTGCCAATTCCTGGCGTCCGGGAGCAGCTCAGGGATCATTCATGAGCCCTTCGGAGGAGCACGTGGACACCAGTAGGAGAGGCCCAACACTAGGTGGGAACTGAATTCGGCCAGGCTGCAGTCTCACCTCTGTTCCGACTTACCTTGTTCCCTGTCTCAAGTTCCCTAAATGTAAAATGGACTCCAAATTCTGGCCCTGTCCAGGTGTATATTTGTGTGGGTGTGTGCGTGCTCAAGTGGGTGACAACTCGCTGGGAGACTGTGGTTAAGTCAGTTGCCTTCTCTGGGCCTCAGTTCCCTAAAGGCAGAAGTGAGATGGTCGTTTCGGTACACTGATGAGATGAACGTGTATTAGAAGTTACCTCGGCCCCTCAGCTTCCTCGCCCAGTCTTGGGGCAGGGAAGACCTCGGCTTCTCATCCTCAATGAGGCCGAATGACATGTTGGATTTAGGAGTAAGAGAACTGAGGCGGAAGATTTTATCCTCGAGGATAAAAATGAGGGAATGTTTGTAAAATGCCCTTGTGAACCTTAAAGCAGCCTGCCCGCCCACCAGGAGCTGGGAGAGACTCTGATGGAGCCCAGCACACACAAGGGGTGTCTCTTCTGACAATACTCATTCATGTCCTGGGCCTCAGTCCTCGAGAAGAGGCTCCCATGGTGAGCGAGGGGTCACCTGTTCTCTGGCCTCCACACCAACTCACAGGGTGACTGTGGGCAAGTTTCGGCATTCTTCTGGGCCTCTGTTTTATTTGCAAGGGAGGCAGCTGGACCAGTAAGGCTGTCCCTCCCAACTTTGACACCATGTGTTCTAACAGCCTTCCCATTCCTGACATTCTATTGTCTGTGGACCCTCATGGGACTGACATGACATTCTGTGCTCTAAGGACCCCAGCTCTAACATTTCCTCTTCTCAGGCACCCCCCTCTCAGCCTTGACGTTTTGTGCTCTAAGGACCCCAGCTCTGACATCCTGGGTTCTAAGAGCCCTCCCAGCTCTGACATTCTGAGTTCTCAAGGCCCTCCCAGCTCTGACCTTCTGTGTTCTAAGGGCCTTCCCAGCTCTGACATCCTCGATTCTCAGGGTCCTCCCAGCTCTGACATGCTATTCAAAGCCACTTGAGTATTTATTCCTAGGGTGTCTGACTTAGCCTAGAAGGCTGGTTCACCCTGCCCAGGACCACTTTCTCCAGATTCTCTCAACCTTCCCTCCCCACCTCTGGCCCAAATCAGTAAAACATCATAGTCATTTTTTTTAGGTCACCAATGTCTGGGATTATTTAATGAAATGGAACTCTTAAAGTCATAATAGTAGCTGAAGCTGTGCTGAACTTTTCTTCTGAAAGGCCCTCACTGAGATGGGCAGGGGTTAGGTCCTGAGTGGTTCACCGTCTGGTTCGATGTGGTGCCGGGCCTCTGGATCCTCAGCCTGGCCTTGAAAACAAAGCTGGTCTGGACCAACTGTCAAAACAAGGAGGGGAGGGGGAAGGCCAGGGTGGCTGATGAGCTGCAGCAGGCTTTAATTTCCGGGGGATTTAGTCTTGAAAATGCACAAGCAATATAAGGGCAGAGAACAGGAGGAATGAGAATGAGAATGAGAGAGAGAAGACAGGAGAGAGAGAGGCAGAGAGAGAGAGACAGGAGAGAGAGAGACAGAGAGACAAAGAGAGAGAGACAGAGAGAGAAGACAGGAGAGAGAGAGACAGGAGAGAGAGAGACAGGAGAGAGAGAGGCAGAGAGAGAGAGACAGGAGAGAGAGAGGCAGAGAGAGAGGCAGAGAGAGAGAGAAAGAGAGATAGACAGAGAAGACAGGAGAGACAGATAGAGACAGAGACAGAGAGAGACAGACAGACAGACAGAGTGAGTGCTCAAGCGCCCTAACAGACAACATGTGTCAGGCTCATGGGGCCCGGAATGTTAATCTCATTGCTCCGTGTTGGTGCCTGTGGCCCTATGGCCGATGACTCCATTCCATCCTGTGTCATCAAAGGATGACAGAGAGGAACCAGGGCCAGGGACATTGCCTTTTGCTCCCTTTTGCAGAGGAGTAGAGTGGGAAGGGTCCTCGCTGCTCGTCTGCTTTTTCGGAGGAGCTCAACCTCATCTCCCCTGCCCCCAGCCCCACCCCATCCTCAGGGGCTAGCAGCAGCTAGCCTGCCTGGCCTGGCTCAGAGCACAGCAGAGGGAGGGGCAAGCTCCAGAGCGCACACAGGCACTGGTTTGATTCCTGGAAGCGATTAGAGCCAAATATAGTTGTAGAAACTGCACAGAACCTGTTTGCCGGGTAATTGCACCTTCCCCCCCCCCCTCTGGCCCCACAGCAAGAGAACCAGTTTGCATTAGTGCCGGCCGGCCCTCCCCCTCTCGCTATCGTGGCCATCTGTATCCCTCTTGGCACCAGCCCAGACATCCCAAGTTCTCTGGGTTTAGCCAAGGTACGGACGGGGGAGAGGCTTCTCCACTGTGCCCCACCCACCACATCCCCCCTTTCTCTCATTTCTTCCCTTTGCCCTCCATGCACATGCTTTTCGGGGAAGTCTGGACCTTTGACTTCATTGGTCTGGGGAACTCCCTGGGGGAAACTGTCTCTGCTAATGCACATCAGTAATTGCTCTGCAAGTCTCTGCTGAGCTGCCCGAGGCACTGGGAGGTTAAGACAGTACATGTAAGAGGCCGGATTTGAACCCCCCTTCTCCTTCCTCTGAAGCTGGGACAGCGGGCTCCCTGGCACCAAATCACGCTGTCTCCTTCCAGGACATGGGTTCAAATCCCACCTTGGGGAAGTCACTTCCTGCTGGGCCTCAGTCTTCTCCCTTTCCAAAAGAGGAGGTTGTGTGGGATGGCCTCTCTGGTGTCTCCTGGCTCTCCGGCTGGGATCCCACAACCCTCTCGTTCTGGCCTCTGGCCTGGGACACTACTCCCCCTCTCCTCTCCACGGCCGCCCCTACTGCTCAGAGTGGCGAGCTCCTCCTCTGCACTCTTCAGGCAGCCACTTGGCTTATGCTGCTGTCTGTGTTATTTCATGGTTTCTCAAGTGCACCTGTCTTCCCAGCTAGAGTGTAAGGTCTTAGAAGGCAGGCAAGGGTTTTTTATTTCTCTGTAACCTGTGGGAGACACAGACCTGAGAACCTACCCCTCTCTCTCCATATTTAGAGCCGGAAGGGGCCTGTGTAGTCCAGTACCTTCCTTTTGCAAACAAGGAAACTGAGGATCTGACAGTTCATGAAATGCTTTTAGTCGCACAGATACCTATCAGGAAGAGGGAACCACGTCCATCACGTGGGCAGAGTGTTCTGACCTTGACGAAGCCCTTTCTGTGAAACGAGCCCATAAGCAGGGAGATGACTCAGCATTATCATTATTTTACAGATGAGGAAACTGAGGTCAAGAGAGGTGAGATAATTTGCCTGTGGTCCCACAGCTAGTAAGTGTCTGGGTGAGGATTCAAGGCTGGGCCTCCTGTGCCCGAATGCCTTCATCTCAGCCACTACGTGGGCTAAGCTATCTCTCATATGCCACGCTGTTGCCTTTCATCATCTCTGTCTTTCTGCCTGCATAGAACCCCACCAGGGGCAGGGCATCTACACTGTGTGCCCCCTTTCCGTCCGCAGGCTCTCCCAAGCGCCATCAGTTTCAGCGGCAGAGGGCAGCTAGCGAAAGCATGGAACAGGAGGACCGGGACCCCCACCAGACTGACATTATCCAGTACATCGCCCACACCGACGACATGGCCTTCCAGCCAGCGGCTGGCCCCACCAGCCCTCCACCCACTCTCGGCAGGTATTCTTCAGTAGATAAGAGGTGATGGCTGGTGGATGTGGGGGGACCCCTATGGAAACCCTGGCTCCCACAAGGAGGAAAGGAGGGGTGTTCCCCACATCACTGACACACGGCTATTTCTCAGTGACTGGCTGGGTGCTTTCAGGGCCTAAAGGACCGTTGGGCCAGAGAAGGTGGACTGCAGAAAGGTCCAGTGAAGGGCCTGGGTTCACAGCTTGGTTCTGCCACTAACTGGCTCGCCAGGTAACCCTTCCCTTCCCTGGGCTTGCTTCCCCATGTTGGATAGCCCAAGGGTTCTTAACCTGCGGTCTGTGTTTTAAAAAATATACTGATAACTGTACTTTGACCTGATTTTCTTTTGTAAGCCTGTGTATTTTATTTTATGCATTTAAAAACCTTATTTTGAGAAGGGGTCCATCCATAGGCTTCCCCAAACTTACTAAAGGGGTTCAGGACCCAAAAAGGGTTAAGAACTCCTGGATTGGATGTCAAGAGGTCCCTTCCCATCCAGATCCTCTGTGACTGGTCTAGACCAGTGTGGGATGTGGGGTGGGCACCGTCCTTCCCTAAGCTTGGTGGACATCCTACTCATCATCTCCCAACTCCCTGGTGGCAGGGGTGGGCAAGGCAGCCCCCCCCCCCATCTCAGCACCCTTGACTTTGTCCCGCTGCTGCACTAACCTGGCAGTGCTTTGGGGGAGGAGCAAGAAGGAAGAGAAGCCTCACCTGGCTCCCACTGGGAGGCTCAAGGCCGTACGACCTGCCCACTCTTAGCTGTGGTCCCCCTTGCCTCCTTCTCCCTTTAGAGGGGCGGCTGCCCCGAGCACACTTCCCAGATCCTGCCTGGAATTCCAGACTGTCAGCGCTGGGACTGATAGAGGCCATGTAGCCTAGCCTCTAAAATCTGACAGAGAGGGAAACGGAGGCAGTCCCAGGCTGTCTCCACTGTATCCTGCCCACTTTCTGGCCCTTTTACTAGGTTGTCCTTCCTGCCAGAGGCATGACGACTCGATACTTGGATGGGCACATAGGATCAGAGCTCAATTCAACTATTTCCCATTACAGATGAGGAAAGAGGCAGGGGAGTGACCTGACTCATGGTCTTTCTCTCCCAACTCGCTTCCTTTCTCCTGGGGGTAACTCCTCCTCCCATCCTCTGCCTCTCCCTCATATCTGGTCAGTGCTAAACCGTGCCCAGCATTTCTCCCGCTACCACGTTCCCAACCAGGGGCGCTGCCCTACTAAAGAGCAGATATGGCCCCCAGTGGCTCCCAGCATCAACCCTTCACAGCCCAGCCCCTGTCCTTCCAGCCTGGTCATCCCTTACCTCCTTCCTGCACTTTGTGCAGCCAGACTGGACAAAATGCTTCCCATGCTTCCCTCCATTTCCCACCTCTGTGCCTTTGTCCTGGCTGTATCTGATGCCTGGAATGCACTCCCGCCTCCCCTCAGAACCCCTCAATTCCTTCAAAATTCAGCTCATGCAACATCTTCCACACAAAATCTTTCCTTCCCTTCCGCCATTCCCCTCCCCTGCCTAAAGTACCTTGCATTAATTTTGTAGACAAGTGTCTGGGCTGTCTCCCCCAGACTGAGGGGGTTAAGGTCCTCAAGGACAGGGAGTCTCTGTATCATTTTGGTCTTTGTATCAGTGCCTAGCACACAGTAGGTGCCTAATAAATGCTGACTGTCTACATGCACTCACAGAGTAAGCTGCTGAGAAGGGAGATGGGGTGAGAGGTTATCACCAGAAGACCTTTGGCTCTGGGCAGCTCCCGCCCCTCCCCCCTCCCCCCTTCCCCCCCAGCCTGTCCCATGCCACTCACTCAGACCCTAGGGCATCGCCCAGTGAAGAAAGCGTAGGCAGAGCTGGAAAAGAGGCAGGGACAAGACTACCCACACAGCATGCACAAAGAAGCTGCTGTGCTGGGTGCACTTTTGGGTGCCCAGGGGGCCCTTCCTGGGTGACTGGATGTGAATGAGAGGCCTGGCTTTAAGGCTGGCCCTTAGCAAGACAGTGGAGGAGAATCCCAGACAGAGCTAGAAGGGTCCTGGAGACTCCCTAGCCCAGGGGTTCTAAACCTGGGGGTCCATGAACTTGGAACTCTTAAAATGAGGATAACTATCTCAATATAACTGGTTTCCTTTGTAATCCTATGTATTTTATTTAGGCATTAAAATTAGTATTTTCAGAAGGGGTTCATAGACTTTATCAGCTCCTTAAAGCCCTGTTCTTGCTTGCTGGTAAAAGAGAGTAACAGAATAGGGCATGTACCAGATATGGATGCAGGGGGCCTGGGTTGGCATCCCCTGGAGGGGGACCTTGGTTTCCCCATCTGTAAAATGATAGGGGCTGGGTGAGATGAACTCTAGGTTCCTTTCAGCCCCAGGCCCCCCTTTTTAAAACCATTCTTGCCTCCTTCTGCATTTAAGAAAGCAGAGGCCAGGGAGGGGGAGAGATTGCCCAGAGTCACCTGGCCTCTGATATGCCACTGCTGCCTTTTCCTTTGCTGGGGTCTTCCCGTTCTTCTGTTGCTTTCTATCTTTCTGGGAAAGGGATTAGAAATGTGGCCCTGCCAGGGCGTGGTCTTTTAAAAAGACCACAGGAAGATGTTTTATTCCAAAGAAAGGACTCTGATGGTAGAATTTCAGGGAGCAGTAGGAGAGGTGGGCTTTGGGTTTTGTTTTTTTTTTTGTATTGTTGTTGGGTTTTTTTGTTTGCTTTTTTTTTTTGGCGAGGCAGCTGGGTGGTGCCACAACCAGATGGTGTTGGACTCGAGAGTCAGGAAGACCTGAGTTCGAATTCTGCCTCAGATACTAGAGAGCTCGGGGACCCTAGGCAAGCACTCTACCTTAGTCTGCTGGCCAGTAAGGTAGGCATAATAATAGGACCTAGCTCCCAGGGTTGTTAGGGGCATCAGTGAGATACAAATGGAGTGTTTTGCAAACCTTAAAAATGCTATGTCATTACTATTGTTGTTGCTGATGTTTTCTATCTATGTACGTGTGAGTGTGTATGGGGGAAGGAAGGAGAAATTTCCAAGGAAGCTTCAGTTCTGTAGGGCCGGCTTAGGATAAAGGACAGTGCTGGATATGGAGTCAGACTGGGTTGGAATCTAGACTTTGCCACTTGATACTGATGTGGCCTTGGGCCAGTCGCTTAAACTCCGGGCCTCGGTGTCTACACCTGCAAAATGAGGGGGTGACCAGCTGCCTCTAAGGTCTCTTCCCCTCCCCAACTAGGCAAGTGGTTAATTGAGGGTTCCTGCGTGGGGCCGTCATGGGTCAAGGGACTGGCCTGGAAGTCTGGGGCAAATATGGAAGCGAGTTTCCCTATACGTGAAAAAAGACCACTGGACTCGGGGAATTGCTGAGGCTCCTTCCGGTCCTAGGATGAGGATTTCAGAACCCAGTTTCTCTGTAGAACCAGGGACTTGCATTGGACGATCTCTAAAGTCCCTTAGAATCAATGAGAGTAGTTGGCATTTTATATAGTTCTTAAGCCCGTGATTTGTCAGATTTATTTGCCCTCGATCCTTTACGGAAGGAACGGTAAGTAGAGTGAGTGTCCAGGTAAGGAGCGTCCTAGGTGGGGGGGGGTGGGGTGGGGTGGGGTGGGGTGTGAGCCGTGTGGGATGACCCTACCTGGCTAGCGGCACCTCTAACAGCCTGGGCTACATTGCAGGCTAGAGCCCCCGGACGTGCCGGGGGCAGCGGCAGCGGCAGCAGCAGCAGCAGTGGGCGCCGCCGGCGGGGTCCCCGAGTCCCCCCAGGAAAGCAGCAGCAGCAGCAGCAGCAGCAACGGGGTTGAGCAGCAGCAGCAGCAGCAGCAGCAACAGCAGCAGACCGTGTATCGGGACATCTGGAGCCTGCGGGCCTCTCTGGAGCTGTACGCCGCGGCGTCCGACCAGAGCAGCGGCAACGACCAGGACTCGGTGCGAAGCGGGGACAGCGCGGGCTCGGCCGGGGCCGGCCCCGGGTGCGCCCTCCTGCCGTCTCACGAGCTGGGCGACGCGGAAGCGGAGCGGGAGGCGCAGGCGGAAGCGCAGGCGGATCGGGCCGGGCCCGGCCCCGGCCCGGGCCCCGGCCCCGGGGAAGGTGGCGAAGCGGGGCCCCGCAAACTGCTGCAGATGGACAGCGGCTACGCGTCCATCGAGGGCCCCGGGCGCGCCGGCGACGAGGCCGCCCCGGCCACGGCGTCCGAGAAGCGCTTCTGCTTCACGAGCGCCGGGCGCACGGGCACCGTGTTCGACAGCTTCGAGGCCGCGCTGGCGGCAGCCGAGGCCGAGGCCCGGCCCGGGCCCGAGGCCGAGCCGGAGGCCGAGGCGGAGCTGCGGGGCGCGCAGGGGCTGCTGCTGCTGCGGGCCTGGCCCCCGCACGGGCAGCTGCTCCTCCCGGCCTCCGCCTCCGCCTCCTCTGCCGCCGCCGCCGGCGGCCTCGCAGCCTCCGCCATCCCCGCCGTCTCCGCCGTCTCCGCCGTCCCCGCCGCCGCCGCCGCCGCAGCCGGCGGCCCCGGCTCCGGGCTCGGCCCTGGCCTCGGCCTCGGCGC